ACCGTTTGATGGGAGAGACCCCAGAGGCAGTGCGGCGGGATCTCCTCCGCAAGGCATGTATGGAACGCCCGAGCTATCTCGCTATAACACTCCCCAGGCATTTCCTCCACGAGGTCCACCGATGGCCCCGACCGAAGAGAGGAGAGAACCTCCCGGACGCATCTCTACCGCGAGCGTACCTCCTAGACCTAGTAGTCAGCCGAGATCCTACCACGGCGTGCCTCCACGATCTGTCGATTTGGGCAGAGGTCCGCCGCCTGGAGATCCCGCGTACGGTAGAAGAGAAGAAGCGAGACCTCCTGGTCCACCGGAATATAACCCCGAAAGACAACCCCGACCCATGTCCTACGAAGAACAGCGTCGTTTCGTCTCGGAACAAGAGCTTCGAGAACGGGAAGCGCGGGAGGTAGAGTTTCGAGAGAAGGAATTTCAAGAACGAAGGGAAAGAGAGAGGATGCACTACGAGGAACAACAACAACAACAGCATCCCTTCGTGGCTGAGAGAAAACGTATCGAGCGAGAGAGGGAAAGAGATCGCGAAGTCGAAAGACAAAGGGAAAGAGATAGAGACAGAGAGAGGGGAGAAATGGAATTGCGCGAGAGGGCCAGAAGAGAAAGGACCACTTCTGACCCGAGTCGTCCGCCCGTTCAACATCCCGTAGAGCTTGGACCCCAGGCTATTGTGCGACAGCCACAGCCACCTTATGGAAGACCTGACCCTCGCGATCCCCGTGATCCCCGTGATCCCCGTGATCCCCGTGATCCCCGTGATCCCCGTGATCCCCGTGATCCCCGTGATCCCCGTGATCCCCGTGATCCAGCGGCCTGGCAGCGACCTGGATACGATCAACCGCCGCCGAGAGACGCGTATGGTCAACCCTATATGGGATCGCGACCAGGCGAGTTCCCCCCGACAACTACAGCGCCATATGGAGCACATCCTGCCTATGCGCAACCACCTCCCCACGAGCGCTTCCCAGGAAATGGACCTCCTCCCCACGTAATACCCGTGAGCCAACCAGGCCCACAACCTTCACATCAGTTCGAGTCTCCCAATAGACATCGGTTTGTGCAGGCGCATCCTCAACACCAACATCAACACCAACACCAACAACCACCACCATCGGCAGCTCATCGAGGCCGACCTCTCGAAGAGGGACCGCCTCCTCCGTCGGTTGCATATAACGGCGGACCCGGTTCGGCCGCTTTCGAAGCAGGCCGACCACGTATGATGGAAGAGGGACCACCTCCGGCTGGACATCCACGATTCCTCGGCGTCCAGGAGATGAACCGTAAGGGTAGAATATCTCCGTTGCCGCAGGCAGTTCAGGGTGCCCAACCTCAAGTGCAGGGCCCCGCTGGTGAACCTGGGATCAAGAGTGAATTCGGCCGTATGTTCTCCGGCATAGGAAGCGGAGTGCGCGGTATCGGTGTCTCTAGTCCGGTCCCAGCCGGCATGCAACCTCAATTCTCTAATCAGGTTCCTGTGCGAGGTGATGATGAACATCCTGGTCATGAGTTACTTGTGGAAGCTCCCGTGAAGCCTACTCGAAAACGGAGAAAGGTGAAAGACGATGACGCAAAGGGCGACGACGATAGTACTGGTAGAACCACACCTGTCGGCAGGGGGGCCAAGCGACCCAAGACTCATGCTCATCACCACCATCACCAGTAAGTCCTAAACTCTTTTCCGTAAGCTTCATCCGTATTTATTGTAATCTCTTTTAGTCATCATCATCACCACCACCATGGCCAGGAGAGAACCACGTCGCCGCTCCAGACGGCTGATGGACAACTCAAAGCACTCAAGGCTGGCACGCCGATGCAGTCGCCGACGGGCAATGACCTTGCTAGTTTCACTCACCACCACCAACCTCCCAGGTCCCACGCGGCTCCGTCGAAGCCAGCGGCGCCCGGGTCGACCATCGTGCCCAAGCCGAAGCAGACGGTCTCGTCCCAGGCGGTCCTCGACAGTGTGGCGGATCGGCCGCGCAAGCACCTGGGCGACGTCGTATACCAAGTGGTGCTCAAGCCTTCCAAACTAGACTCGTCTCATTCCAAATTTGGGTATACTTCTAATCCGCGACCGCTCCCAATGGAGATGATCAAGGGCAACGAGAACTCGACTCTGACGGTCAAGATCCCGCGCGTCCACCTCAGCCCAGCCGCGCGCGAGGAGATCACGCATCGTCGAGCCGTCTGGGGGACTGACGTCTATACGGACGACTCGGACGTCGTGGCCGCGTGCATCCACGCCGGCTGGATCCGAGGCGAATGGGGCGACGACGTCGACGTCAACCTGCTCGACCTCTACAAGCCGTCTCCTTCCTCCTCCTCCTCCTCCGCTACGACAAAGAAGCGGCGCGACGCGCCCGTCGAGCCGCAGCAGCAGCAGTATTTCGAAGTGCTGACGGAGCCGCCGGCCTCGGGTCCCGCTTACGTACCCGCGGGTCGCGACCTGCACGTGACGCTCCTGATCCTCCCCGGGCTGGAGAAGTACAGCAGCTCGACGCGGTTCGGGATCCAGAGCCGCGAGTTTGGGGGCACGTACAACGGGCGCAAGTCGGTGCACGACGGGATCAGCTTCATGGTGACGAGCGTGCGGTGGGTCGACGGCGCGGCGCCGCAGAGCAGGCTGCGGGGCAAGGCGCGCAGGGAGCGGATCCGAAAGGCGATGAGCGAGGTGAACCGCAGCCAGGTGGTGGATATTGGCGAGAAGGAGATACTGAGTAAGATGGTGTTGGCGGCGAGGGATGCCGGGGTCGGGAAAGAGAAGGTTGGGGGTGGGAAAGTAGTGGAGGATGCTGGTAGTGGAGATGGCGATGGAGACGGGGATAAGGAGAACCGACCTGCCGTCGCTGTTGCGAACGGTGCGGATGTGGGTGCGGATGCGGTTCACTCCTCGGACCAGGAGAAGCGTCTGTTGGATACAGGCGCGGATTCGAGCGAAGAGCCTAAGGAAAACAGCAGTCCGGCAGAGACACAGACCCAGGGTGTAAATGGAGATTCCACAACCACCGTCGACGCAGAAGAACCGGATCAAGTCATGTCTACGGAGGCTCCGGAGTAACCTGGGCACGAGAACCGATTCCCTCGAAGAGAAGCCGTAGAAGGGACACACCGGCTGGTTAATACCCGGCGACGCTCGAAGCTACCTTGAAGCTAGGAAGGGGGGCGGACGTGTATTTACCGTCTTTGCTTTGCTTTGCGTTGCGTTGCGTTGCGTTGCGTTGCGTTGCGTTGCTTTCTTTTTTCTATTCTTCGGTTTATGGGTCATAAGATACCTTTTTGTTGCTCTTTTTGTCCAAGTAATGTTTAGCATAGCGCGGAGTTGTTTAGTTATTAGCAGACAATATGCAGTGGTTTGTTTATTGACGTGTTTGGACGTGTGTATGTGGTGTTTTGCGGTGTGGTCTGCGGTGTGGTTGGGGGGATTGGTATGAGTATTAGAATTGAGGTGGTATATAAGGTGACTGTTCCTATGAGTACGAGTAGGTGGATGAGGATGTGGATGGGTGTATACACGACGCCCGAGGCTAACACGGCGTCAGGAATCATGCTGAATATTTGTACGAGCTGGCGTTGATGAGGACACACGTAACTTGGTATCGGTATCTCCATCCATCATCTGTGAAATGTAATATAGTACGAGTAGATATTCTAAGCACCCCCCAAAAGAGGAATTAATAGTGTTAATATTGATCTATTTTATTGGCCTGCCTAATGAGATGGTTTTCATCAACCACTATCGACGGCTCTTATATATGGACTACTTGTGTCTCCTAGTTCACATCGCCTTTACCCTCAAGTAGGGAACACCGCACACCATGTGCCTGTTTTCCCGGGATGAGTTTCCCGCAACACGACAGATTGACAATACGGATACACGTAATCTCGGCTGCTTCGACCGCAATCGATTCCTCTAACGCAGATGCGTGCTGCCTTAGGTAGTTGAAGGGCAGGCCAGGTCTCTAAGTATCTACCGGCAGAGCAATGTAGATAAAACGCGACCCGCCAGCAAACCCCCGTCTAATCCCGTCATCATCCCTTTCCCCCTTTTTTTTTCACTTGCTCATCTATGAGCAACCTACGCCCGACCTCCTCTAGAAGTCCGTAACCCGCCCGTTAAAGCTATAATCGCCACCCGCCCCCCACCTCAGCGGCTCGTTCTTCGGCCCCCCGACCTCGCCCGTCTTCGGGTTAACCTCGCCCTCGAATTCCGGCGGCGCGCCCTTGCGGAGGGGTACGGATGCGAATTCGTTTCCTTCCTCGACGGCTGTTATCTGTCCGTCTCTTGCTGGTATTGCTGCTGGCGCTGCTGCTGAGGAGCTATTTGCGGTTGTGGGGGCGGTGGCGTTGGTAGAGGTAGAAGATGGGGATGAGAAGTCCGGCGTCGAGGTCGGGTTGAATCCCTCCTGCGTGTTGGCGATCCGTTGCAGCCGCTCGAACTCGGCTTGCTGGTCGGCGGGGAGGCGGTGAGGGGACGGTCCGGTTTGGAAGGGGTTGCTGGAGGAGGCGTGGCGGATGTTGCGCGTGTGCCGGGATAGGGCAAGGGGTCGCGCGATGTGGGTTATGCGCGTGAGGCGGGTGAGAGTGGATGCCATTGCGGACTTTTTATGTAGGTAGCTGTTTGTCTGTAGGATTATGGGAATGGACGAATGGCTAAATATGCTGGCGAATGTCTCGACTATTTACCTACTCTGGATGTATCGTGAAGAGCTTAATTCGGCCTCGGAGTGGCAATTGCGTCAGTCGAAAGTCAAGCTTACCTAATACCTCGGCTGGGGACGGGATGTCAACTTCCTCATTCTCTTTGGAGGGTATCCCTGATTGGTCAAGATTTCGCACAAGATATGCATACTTGGAATTCTTTAACGCTGGCTACCTAATTTATTGATAGAAACAAATAGATCAAGATAATAGAACAAAGAACAAATGATGAATATGGGACAATGTGAAAAAAGGGAAACAGGGGAAAAAGAAAGATCCAACTATATAATCGAGCTCAGCAGGGATCGAACCTGCAATCTTTAGAGATGGTCTATGTAGAGCCGAAATCTAACGCCTTACCATTAGGCCATGAGCCCATATATACGCAATATGGAGTCGAGATATGTTTTGGACTTCTGCCAAAGCTGTATAGATACCTGCAACGACGGAGTGCCGGCTAGGTGTGGACTAGCTAGACTGAGTCAGTGGATACTACCTATCAGATGTTGAAGTTTGAGGTTGATTTTGTATCGTGTATGCAGTTAGGCAGTGTGTGCTGGTTTTATTCTCTATGGGTCTTATGGAATTCGAGGATTAGTTCGTGACGTACATATTTTCTTTCTCTTGGTCTCCTGATAGCTTATGTACATAGTGGTACACACGAAGTACATAGCAAACCTCAGATTGAAATGCCTTACACCTATTCAGAATAGACTCCGGTTTCGTTGCAGTGAGAAATAATTTACCCGAGTATGTAATTGAAAGGATGGTATAAGACGAAATAGGACGGTGTCCGACTTGTCAACGAGCTGACAAGTTGATAGGCAACTGAGTCTAGACCAATGAAGATATACCAACAAGCTTATTACAGTGAGAAATTGGCGTTATGGTCCCTTGCATTTCTCAGATCTGTTCCTTTAAACAAGGGCGTTCGGGATCTACCTAGGTACATCTTGACAGGGAATAGATACCTAATACATAGTACCCGTGGGCAAGGGTTGGTGGGGCTAAAAGGACCCCTCGGTGCCCCTCCGGTTATCGCATTTTGCAGGAAGGAAAATATCAAGAATCGTTGTTGACTCAGACCATTCTTCGTACCAAGAGTCATTCCAATTGTCTATAAAAGAAATTGTGTCTTTTTTACCTTTCTCTCTTTCGTGTCACCTCGTAGTACTCTATCAATTGACTCCTCTACGCCTATCAATTGAACTTGACACTTATTAAGACACCATGGAGGCTCTTAAACAGACATTCAGACGTTGCAAGGCAGAGAACCGGGTATGTGTCATGAGGTCTATACAACCACATATTCATGTTTTGACTAATTGCTACAATATACTAACTGATTGTCTTGAAGTCTGCCTTGGTAACCTATGTCACCGCTGGCTACCCGAAGCCCGAGGACACTCCTGATATTATGGTGGGAATGCAAAAGGGTGGTGCTGGTACGTGGCGAATCTACTTTTGCGCCTACCCAATCCTCAATCCTCAAATTGTCATCGCGAGGAATGTCGAAACCAACTAACAAGTTATAGATGTCATTGAGCTCGGTGTACCCTTCACAGATCCTATCGCAGACGGCCCGACCATCCAAACCTCAAATACCGTCGCCCTCGAAAATGGCGTTACCATTAAATCCACTCTAGAAATGGTGCGCGAAGCTCGATCGAAAGGCCTTACCACTCCGGTTCTATTGATGGGCTACTACAACCCCCTACTTAGCTACGGCGAGGACGAACTCCTACGAGATTGCAAGATGGCCGGCGTCAACGGTTTTATCGTTTGCGACTTGCCACCCGAGGAGGCCGTCTCCTTCCGAAAACTCTGCAGTAGAGGAGCACTATCCTACGTTCCTCTAATCGCGCCCGCCACCTCGGATACCCGTATGCGCATTCTATGCGCCCTCGCCGATTCTTTCATCTACGTCGTCTCCCGTATGGGTGTCACCGGCGCTCTAGGTACCCTCAATGCCAACCTACCGAACCTACTCGAACGGGTCAAGAAGTACAGTGGCAACAAACCAGCCGCCGTCGGCTTCGGTGTGTCGACGCGGGAACACTTTCAGTCCGTTGCTTCCATTGCCGACGGTGTCGTTATCGGTTCGCAGATTGTCACGACCCTTAAGAATGCCGAGCCTGGCAACGGCCCCAAGGCTGTCGAGGAATACTGCGCCTACGTTAGTGGGCGAGATTCGGACGAGAAGACGCGAGAAGTCGGCGTGATCGAAGCTATTAGCAGCGCCAAGGAGCCAAGCGGTGAAGACGTGTCGGTAAATGGTGTTATTACCGAGCACGACGATGCTGCCTTGGTTGCGCAACTTGCCGCACTCCACGGCAAGATCCCCGAGCGGTTCGGCGAGTTTGGTGGACAGTACGTACCCGAGTCTCTCATGGACTGCTTATCTCAGCTGGAAGATGGTTTCAATGCCATCAAGGATGATCCCAAGTTCTGGGAAGAGTACAGATCTTATTACCCCTGGATGGGACGACCCGGTCAGTTACATCTTGCCGAACGCCTGACGGAACATGCCGGTGGTGCCAATATCTGGTTAAAGAGAGAAGATCTGAATCATACCGGTTCTCACAAGATCAACAATGCCCTAGGACAACTCCTACTGGCGAGGCGGCTAGGAAAAACTAAGATTATCGCCGAAACTGGTGCAGGCCAACACGGTGTAGCAACCGCTACGGTATGCGCCAAGTTCGGTATGGAGTGTACGATCTTTATGGGTGCCGTACGTTTTCTCTTTTCTTTCTTTTCTTTCTTCTCTTTCCCACTGGCCGAGAGTAAGCGACGACTAACGGTGAAATAGGAAGATGTTCGTCGTCAAGCACTAAACGTGTTCCGGATACGCCTTCTTGGGGCCAAGGTCATCGCAGTCGAAGCCGGCAGCAGAACTTTACGAGATGCCGTCAACGAAGCACTTCGTTACTGGGTTGTACATCTCGAGGACACGCATTACATTATCGGTTCCGCTATTGGACCTCACCCCTTCCCTACCATCGTTAGGACCTTCCAGTCTGTCATTGGTAACGAGACCAAGGCGCAGATGCTGGAGAAACGGGGAAAGCTACCTGATGCTGTCGTTGCATGTGTCGGTGGAGGTAGCAATGCTGTCGGCATGTTCTATCCCTTCTCCAACGACCCCAGCGTTAAATTACTAGGTGTAGAAGCCGGTGGTGATGGTGTAGACACGGCTCGGCATTCAGCCACCTTAACGGGAGGCACCAAGGGTGTCTTACATGGTGTGAGGACATATGTTTTACAAAACGAGCACGGCCAGATTTCAGACACGCACTCGGTTTCGGCCGGACTCGATTATCCGGGTGTTGGTCCGGAACTGTCGTCCTGGAAAGACTCGGAGCGAGCGAAATACATTGCCGCCACCGACGCCGAAGCCTTCCTAGGTTTCAGACTCATGAGCCAACTAGAGGGCATCATCCCCGCCCTCGAATCAGCTCACGGTATCTACGGTGCCATCGAGCTAGCCAAGACGATGAAGAAGGATGAGGATGTAGTTATCTGTCTTTCCGGTAGAGGAGACAAGGACGTACAGAGCGTTGCTGAGGAATTGCCCAAGCTGGGTCCTCAGATCGGATGGGATTTGCGTTTCTAGATATGGATTGGGAGAAATGTCTAAGATCCAATTCGGGAGTCGGCGTAAGGTGACGAAAAAAAAAGTAAAAGATGATGATACGATGGCATTTCAGGCATATAGAATTGCGTTATTGTACAATTGAGTTACGTGATGCCATGCTATGTCCTCTGACTATTCTCACTTCGTGATGTTTGTCCCTTTAACGTAGCCCTGAAACGATGAACCTCGAGACTAGATCGAGTTACGGCGTAGCTGTCTTGGTATCCTCTCTAGGCTTCGCATCTTGGTAGACCTGCTCAAACGCGTCTCCAGCAGTCTCCTTAACCCCCTTGATAACCTCAGCATCACCCTGAACCACCACCTCCTCCCCCTTCGCCGCCTCACCAAGCACAAACTCATCGCCCCGCTCCAGCATCCCATCAACCTCATCCAGGACAGCCTCAGCCGTCAACCCCTCGGCCGATAACTCCTGCGGGAACGTCGTACCCTCCTCCTTCGGCGGCAACCCCAACTTGGCCCTCTCCCTCGCAAACCTCTCCCTCACCGCCGGCGTCTGCATAATCTTCCACCGTAACGCCCACCCGGCGGGCCCCAAGTCCTTAATCCGCCGCGCTTTGCCGCCCAGCAAGTACTCATCGATACCGCCCAGCAGGTCAATCGTCCGCAGCACCCGCGCCGTCATGCGCGTGCGGATAAAGCCGTTCAAGGAAGGCGACCACAGCCGCTTGGTATGCTGGTTCGGGTACCACTTGTGCCGCGACTTGTTGCCGTACTTGGCGGCGACGACGTTGCCGAAGCGCACCTTGGTGCCGGCGAAGAGGCCCTCGTTGGCCTGCTTGTACGTACGGAAGGGCCCGTAGGGGTACGCGGGGACGAGGTCCTCGGGGACGGTTAGGTGCGAGGGTTTTTGCCGGTGGAGGGGGGTGGTGGCGTGGATGCTGCGGGAGGCTGAGGCTGGTATGGCGTATATGGGGGTTTGTGAGAGAGAAAAGGAAAAGGGTGTTGAGGAGGGTATGGGCGATAGACAGTGCCGCGATGGGGTGGCTGCGAGTCGTATTGGTGGCATTGTGGCTGCTGATTTTGATTTTTATCTCGTATGTCGTATGTCGTATGTCGTATGTCGTAGACGTCGGTTTCGGTTATATTATAACGGCAACATGGATAATGGTGTCAGACCGTGTGGAAGTCTAACTGGGCGACGACGATATCGAATTCGTGCTCGATATGAAGATGGAATTGAAGATTTCTTATCGTGGAATTATCAGTTATGAAGCTCGAAAGGTGCATGTACTTGGGTAGCATACTACTGTGGATAAATACATGATATACTTCACACTTCACTAGATGCAACTAGGTTACTAAAGTCCCGTCATGTCACATGTGTCATGTGATATCGCTTCATCTACGCGATATCAAAATCAAAAATCGCGGGGCACGACCATCGACAGCTTCAAAATCAGAAATCAGAAATCAGGGACCAGAACGCACCAGAAAACTACCTATATCCCTCCCAGGACCTCCACGATGCTACCACCCATAGACGAAGCCGTTCTCCAAACCAATCCAGACTTCGAGCGTCTATACAAGACTGTCACTAGCTCTCTTCTCAATGCCGACGGGTCTACCAAGAGTCACGATCCGGTAGCTAAGAAGCGTGAAGCTGTGCGCGATGTAAGTTTATCCCGGACTTATGAGTGAAAATCGCAACTAATTGACCACGCACGTAGGAACTCAAGTCGTACCGCCTCAAGGCCGCAAAGCAGAATCTCATCCGCGGCG